TTTCATGATTTTGCATTTGGCAAATTAGTTTTAACAATTAATTGAAAAAGTAGTGCTCAACAGTTGTGATTTGACATTGTAAATGTGTAAACAGAAAGAGTGAATGTGCAACAACTGCCTATGATGCTGTTTACTGTATCTTATCCATTTCTTTTGCTTAAATAAATGCTGCATCTGTATCCTGTGGAAGGTGAAGTCAAAAGTTAACTTCAAGCTGTATGAGTTTGGTATATTAAGGGCTTTTGGTATCTCAATATTCGCTTTCTTTCAGTGCCATCTTATATGCTATTTTCCCTCAATTTTGAATGTTGTTCCTGATCTTGGATTATTGGTCTGTCTGCCATCTATATGCAATTTTTCCTGGAATTGAGTTCTATTCATTCCCATTTTCACGCCAATGTCCTTTTTCACCTAGTGACGGTTCTTCCTTTACATGGAACTGATGTCAAAAAGAATTGATAGTTGCTTCTCACAGTTAGCCCTCGTTTGAGCCACATTAAAATTTTTATTCTCATTATTCTACTCATTTTCAACCACATATTTTTCAATAAAATAATATTTTCCATCACATCAATAACTTTTCCTTCTTTATCAACAACACATTCTCCATCAGTCTACTATTCCAAAATACATTCTTATTTTTATTCTCATTATTCTACTCAATTTCAACCACACATTCTTTAATAAAATAATATTTTTCAGTACATGAATAACTTTTTTTTTCTTTTTCAACCAACATTCTCTATCAATCTATTATTTCAAAATACATTTTTTCAAAATAATGTGGCTCAAACACACCCTTAATGCATAATTGGTGGATCTTTCTTTTGTTATTTGATGGCCCACTCAACTACATGGTTTTATGGTTTAAAATGCAGGTTGGTAATCGTATAATAAGGAAGAGGATCCATGTCCGTGTTGAACATGTGCAGCCCTCACGCTGCCATGAGGAAGTCCTGCAAAGGATCAAGAGAAATGATGCATTAAAAGCGGAAGCAAAAGCTAGAGGGGAAGTGATAAGCACTAAGAGGCAGCCAAAGGGCCCTAAACCTGGCTTCATGGTGGAAGGTGCAACTTTAGAAACAGTGACACCCATCCCCTACGATGTGGTCAATGATCTCAAGGGTGGTTATTAAGCATATTTATTTGGTGTCCTTGCTCTATTAATTTGCTGGGAACGATGAGGAGCGTATTACTTAAGTTTACTTTCTACTTTTGACATTAGCTCTATTCATAAGAAAATGAACTTGGTTCATTGACGAGTTGTTTGAATGAATGAAATGAAGGTTTCTATTAAATGGCTGGGTCAATTTCTTGTGGACATCTTTTGTTGCTAGACTTTTTTCATGTTGAGATAGTTGGAACTTTGGAATAGCCAGATAAAAGAGGGTGATAGCTGAGGAGCTACGTAGCATTATTCTAAATGAGGCAATGAACATCAAAGCTTAAAATGTGATCTAGCATATGCTACTTTCGTATTTATGTAACCCCTGAAGATAATCAAACAGATTTTCATGCATCCGTTTTGGAGAATCGAAGCTTATTAGGTATCGAGTCAGTCGATTTTCAGTATGGTAGTGCGTAAGCTGTGTTAAAGTGGCGGGTCATCTAAACAAAGAAAGGGGAATAATAAAGAATACCATACAAGAAAGAAGTACTAATTTTAATCCGACATGATAAATATAAAACGGAAGTTGCATTTAGGAAAAGGAAATAGGAGTGAATGCAAAGAAAAGAACTTGTGCTGGAGTAGGCAACTCATTAAACCCCTGTTTGGTTTGGTTAAAAATTAGGTTCTTAATAGATTTTGATGAACATTAACAAAAATTGTGGGTCGTGAAATTATGATTGAAAAGAATTTGAATAAAATTGAGAGTTAAATAAGCCTTAGTTTTATGGCCTTTTTTTTTTTTTTCAAAAACAATGTTTTGAATAATGATTTTTAAGAGAATGTATGGTTAAAAAGTAAGAACAAAATTTAAATTTACGTGCAAAATATTTATTGTGTAAATGTAAAATAAATTTAAATTTAACCGCACATTCTTATAATAAAATATTTTGTACGCAATTTAAAAACTTTTTTTTCTATTTTTTAACCACATATTTTTTAAAAAATTATTATTCCAAAACTCATCAGGGCTAAGTATATATAGAGTGCATATCGTGAATTAAGTTTTTCCTTTTAATATCTATTTCTTTTTTCTTTCTTATACAAAAGGTATCGAGGTGATAGTTTTGAAGAGAATACTTGGGAGTTGAGAATGAAGACATCATCTGCAGTCTTTGTCTTCATCATGCTCGCTTTCTCTTCAGGTTCTCTTTATTTTATTTTTGCTCTCTCTATTTCTTTCCTTCTAAATTGATGGTGTAATAGTTGAATTTTTCACTGCAGCTTGGCAGATGAGTAATGCTAATAGGGTTTGGATTCCAGAGCATCGTTGCCATAAAGAAATGAATTCAGATAAATGTGACTTGCAAAAATGTATGGCAAAATGTTCAGAAAAGCCGCTCGGGACGGGAAAATGCAGTGGAAGCCATTGCATCTGCACGTATTACTGCCACCACCCTCCAGAATAATCCTCTCTTCAAAATACTTTCATCTCTTGCCCTATCCTTGCGTGATAATATCTCTCTTTTTATTTTTATTTTTTTGAATGAATTCTCTAAATTGATGTTGTTTCTTCTCAAATGAATCTTATCCAGCACACTTTCTAATTTCTATGAATGTTTACTGTAACTAGTTTTACATAAGCATACAAAAAATACTGTGGAGAGATGATAGTTCTCTATTGTTTGGTTGAAATCCCACAAGCGGCGAACTGGATATTTTCTTTAGGTGGACAAAAATTGTATGACAAAAATAATTATAAATAATAGAGCATAGTAATGATACATTACGATAATTGTTCATGACGCGTTTTCATATTTTGAAGACGTCGTATAATTATTCAATATCAATTTCATTAAATATACCCATCTCAACATATACAACTAAATTGTTATTCAACCACTTATCTCCAATTCGATTGCTCAACCGAGTCTTGACAAGATTCATTGCAGAAAATACCATCTCAATAGTAGCAATAGCAACGGGAATAATCAATACCAATGTCACAAGCCTATATAGCAATGGATATATTTCATTTTTCTTCATCACAACAAGCTTCTTTACAAGATCACTTAGACCCCGTAATCCTCTAAAGTTTTTCATTGTACGCATATCAAAAATATATGTTTCAAGCCGTTCATCAAGTGTAGAAAGATCTTTTAGTAAAAAATCTCCAGGATAATACTCATCAAGTAGAATTAGTTTGTTCTTGTTGAAAGCAAAAACACAAATCATCTAGACATAAACATGCATATATACAATGGCACAATTCACTGTTTACCTTAAAAAAAGCGATCATTCAACTTTTGAAGTTACATAACGATTACGACATAAAAGCAATCCACACGTAAGTCATGTAAATTTGTCATTTCTGGTGTGTTACACCGTGAACATTCTGGAGGTATATATGTAGCATTCATGTTAGGAACATCAATATACTGCTTTTGAAAGAAAGAACAAACCGTTTCAAGGAAAGAGTCTCATCCATAGTCTCTCATTGCATGGAGTTGTTCTCTATGAGTTTTTTACTAATTTCATAGCATTGACAAAATTTTAGTAAGTCAACTAATAATATTAACACCAAATAACTTTAGAATGTGTTGATACGTAATTGTTCTCCTAGTCTAATAACTTTAGCACCAAATAACTTAAGCCCACATAAGCTATATAATTGTTCTCCTAATCTACAAGTCCACCTGTTAACCAAAATCTAGATTGCACTTGCAAGGGGCCACAAGGAAAATTAGTGGCTTATAATTAAGGTTGCCTAAATATTTTAGGTCTCTCTCAGGCATTGAATTCACAAGTTCCATCTCAGTAGTTTTTTTTTCTTGTTTTTTGTTTTTTGGGTTTCTTCTCCTGGTTTCCAAAAACTCTATCAATGAAGGGATAAACCTTAAACTGAATGGACCGGAAGTCAGAAGCATATGATATAGTCATATAGTCAGGCTTGGTTTGAACTTTGAAGGTTAAGTTATTATTGTTGTAATCATTGTTACTGTTATTATCGTTACTATTATGCAAATTAATTGTTGTGTCGTACTTTACTTGCCATATAATCTGCTAGGTTGTTTTAAAATAATTCATTGACAGACAAACACAGCTACAACAACAACCATAGACTGTGAATTCTAACTGATTCATAAGCACAAAAATAGTGAAAAAATTTGCAAAATAGTCACAAAAAAATCAGTTCAAGATCCTAACGCACTAACTTGTTGAACTCACCTTTCCAATAGAAATACCTCCAATAGAAGAGGAGAATTAGAAAATGGCAGAGAAAGAGCAACAAACTCGAGTACGGTTGAATCGGTTGATGGTGGACGATGTCGATGATTGACCGTCAATTGGATTCGAATTTGCAAAATATTTGAGAAAGAGAGAAGATGGATGGGTATGGTTTTAAGCTATTTCATTAAATTGGAATGGGAAAAAATTGCCTGTCACTCGGTGATTCTTTTTCCTATTTTTTTTTTAAATTTAAAAAAATAAAATTGGGTGTGCAGTTGCCCACCCTTGCCCATATGTACCTCCGCCTCTGCCCCCAAGTGTACCGATTCATTGATAATGTAAGGCAAATGGTTGTCAAACGACCTCTCGTACTATGATGTTAAATCATTAGTGATTCAGTCGGCATCGACCAAATAATTGAAATGAAATATTGATACCTCAAATGGAATGACCTAAACCTATAACTATTTTGGGTAATTAGAATTAGCATAATTAAATTAGAGTTGTCCATTGCCCGACCCTTCACTCCTTGGATGTCTTTTGGTATTTGACGCACTTGTTGGTTATCTATTGTTTCCTTTTTGGGCTTAAACCATGACTTAACCTAAAACCTAATACGCTACTATATATGGGCAGCCTCTTTACCTTGAGAAAAATATGTTATCGACATAGCCCCTTTTAAGATAAAAGTAGTTGCTTTGTCTCTGCTTTGTGCTTCCTACTACAGTGTTTTTCTCTTTGTTTCTTTTAGCCTTTGTGGCTACAATAACCTCTTATTTTGTGTCATTTGTGGGCAATACAAAAGCAACCGGAGTTGGGTGAAGGTTGTAGGATATTGAGTTATTGTTTGGTGGTGTCGATCTCAGTGGGTTTTGATAAAGCTGAGCCCAAAAAGCCTTAGGTAACCATTATTCCGCTTAACATTTGGTATCAGAACTACGTTCGTGTGTGAATTCCGGTGAAGGTCTGACAAGAAACATCCAGAAAAAAACAGAAAGACAGATCAAAAAATCTATTTAATTTTCTTCTCAAAAACCATACCTGCAACTGTATTTTTTGGCCAAACCAGTGGCTAGTTGAAGAATCCAAAACCACAGGCAGACAATGCAAGTAGAGACGTGGCCGACAGTGGTTCACGTGGAGGTGATGATCGACGGTCGCAAATCGTGAAGACTTCAGGGGTGACGCGTGAAGGCGCATCCGAAGTCACCTGGGGAAGATTTATTCAGGCATAATACTTCTAATGTCATTTCTAACGATTTGGTGTAGTTAGTTTTCCGTTTCAGATTATACAGTGAAATCTGGATGATATTGCCCTTGCTAGTTTGTGATTCGATTTTTTACTCGATTGGTTCTTATAGTTGCTAGAGACTTTACGATGAATAGTGATGGCCATAAATTGGTAAAATCACATCTCTCGTTATTTACAGACTCAGATTGGTCTACTCTGGTAAATGACTTATCTAGTTTAATTTTCAACACTAGAACATCATCATGTGGGGGTGACAATAGGATGTAGGTTATTGTGTGAGGTAAATATTGCGCGTGCTAGAACTACTTACCTTTAATTATTACATGATTAAATTGTTCATTTGATAAACATCAGTGTATTATCTTGGTGAGGTATTTGTGCCTGAAACTATTTAGTTGACATATCTCTTGTTGCACTGTTAATTTATTAGAATACCTAGACCTTACCAATTTGAACATTCCCGAAATCTAAGATCGAGTGTCTTAGGAAACCCTGAGAATCTAGAATGGTGTTTATTGTTTGCGACCCTAGGTTTACTTTGTATG